CCTCCAAGCTATCAGCCTTCCCCACAAGGCAACTCAACAACCAAATCCTTCCTGTGGTCCCCTAACTTGCTCCTTGATGCTGCATAACATCAGCTCCTCCAACCTGCTTTCCCCTCCCTCCACTAGCTAAATGGAGCTACCTCCCCAAGGCTGGGCCAAACACTATCCCCGTGTAAGCAGGGATAACTTCACAGGCTTCCACCCCACCTTCCACTGCAGGACTGGATTTATCTGCAGGTTGATGACCACTCACTGATGGGACACCCATGGCCCAGTGCCAGGTGTCTGCATGCTTAACTGCTGCTACAAAAACAGGAAGTGGGAGGAGCAGAGAGGCAGATGGCCCATGTCACACGCACATAGAATCAGGCTTGTTTTTTCTGACTTTTTAAATTGCCACTTCCCCTCCAGACACCACTCGTCACCCGATCAGAATAGGTTCAAAGCACATCAGGTCTGGGGTCTCAGCCGCTGGCATCCTCCTGATTGCTTGGTGTTTCAGTGTGTAGTGAACTAGGCTCTTCCCAGGTTAAAGTGGCCAAGATAGGAAAGCAGCTCCTGTCCAATGGCAGAATGTGTTGCCCCTCAGCAGAGGCTAGTGCACAATCATGGCAGGGAGATTTTCACTGCAGTGAGGAGCCACGGTTTGCCTGGCTAGTGATTTGCAAATACAGCTCATGTGCAGGGGCCCAGATGAGACACCCTGATTAGTGAAAGGGAACGGATGGGGACCTGACATTCACAGAGCAGCCTTCACATCAATGAGCTTTGTAAAGCCCCTGCATGTGTGTGGCATAAAACACATGGGGGAGCACCCCAGAAGCTCAGCAACAGTGAGCCAGTGACTGAGTCACCAATGCTGTACTGCAGGAGGTGCCTCATCCGAAGAACCACCTGGCTGTACTGGCGGGAGCCAAGGCAGCACAGCTGTGCACTGCTGGCAGGGAGAGGGCACTAAGTATTGAGGAGAGAACCTCCACCCCACTCTGCCAACATTTTCCATGAGATATCAAGTGGGTCCTGACAGCACAGATCCTGGTGCCATTTCCCATCCTAAAAGAGCTCAACAGGTGATTTCTCTCTAAAATGGCAGCCAATGACAGTAAGAACCCAAAACCACGTGGCCGTCAATCAAAGGCAAGGGCATTTGAAGGCAAAAGCCACGGCTCTTAGTTGGGGGAACTGTAGAGGGTCTGCGTGATACACAACTGTTCTGTCCTGCCCTGCCCTGCCCTGTCTGCAGGGCTGTGATCCCCAGCCATAATGGGGCAAGCTCTGACTCCCTCCAGGCCTGGGTGCTGACCTCGGACTCTGCTGTGCCTGACACCCTCCCTGCTCACCTGCTCCCGATGCTGCAGAGCTTCCAGCACTGTCCGGGCCTTCTCAAAGGGAGGGATCCTTAACCTAGAAAATCCATCTGTTACGCAAACAGGATGCACAGAGCCATGCTAACACCTGCCACTGCAGTAGAGCCCAAGACCCTGAGCAGATGAGTGTGGTGAGATCTTCGATGTGGTGGGTGACCGCACCGGCCTCTCAAGAGTTGGATTCTAGTCCGGGCTTGGCAGGCAGCCAGATTTTGATGCCTTTATGCTGTGGCAGCGTGGCATCCAACTGACTACAAAGCCCAAGGCTGAAAAACTCACTGCAGGTTAGAACTGAGGTGCCTGAGATATTTCCAGACACTTGAGACCAGCTGTGCTGGGAGCCAGACCTGGAGGGGAACAGGCAGAACTGAATGTGGGGCCTAGGGCTAGAATTACCATGCAAGTTATTGATAAGGGCCTTCATTTTAGCTTGTGAACCAAGTGGCCCATCAACTTGGGACCCTTACACGGTACCGATCTCACAGCATACAGTCAGGAATCATGAGGTCTTGCTATTAACTTATGCAGGTAATGGGGCCACCCATCTTAGGGCCTCACTGTCCTGAATGCATTTAACACAGGCACAGAGAGGACAAATGACTTGCCCAAGGTCATGCGGGGAGTCTGTGGTGTGGGGGGAGTGGACCCCCACATCTGCTTCCTCTCCTGTGCCCTGCTGGCCACCACCATCTCACCCACCTGTAAAGAATCTCAGCTCGGAGATAGTTGCCGATTCCATTGAAAAACTTCTGATTTAACAGGGCCTCACAAATGGGCTTGTCAAAGGCCTTGTCAGACAGGTTCTTCAGTACATTCTCCCTGGAATACAGCAGGATGCATTAGGCAAGCCTTGCACTGGGGAGAAGGCAGGGGAAAGGCTGCCAAGAAACGATGGGAGTTTGTCTCACGTTGAATATTAGCTTCATCAGGACACATGTCTGTAGAACCAGCAGGAAGAGGAACTGATACTAAAGGATGGGGAGTGATGGGCCAGTGAGCACAAGTGAAATGTTATAGCAAGAATAAATGTAAAAGAGAACAACCTGCATAGAGCAGGAGGCAGCTTTATACATCAAGAGAGTTTAAGATATTAGAGGTTTGATTCGATGCCAGAAGAGGCAGCAGTGACATCCTTCTTGTAGTGGGTGTACAAGGCACAAGGATGTCCTTCCATTTCTTCTGCAGGACAGGGGTTGGGGACTTGTGTTTAGGAACATTAGAACCAGAAGAGACCATCTAAGCCATCAAGTCCAGTTGCCTGCCTGCTGGCGACTCCTACACAGACCTAAAAATTATCTGCTTCCAACCCTCACACACAAGGCACAAAACCAGACATACCAGAATCATCCTACCAAATGCTGCTGATAAAAAGCAGGGGAGACAAGAGCATTTCTAGTACTGCAAGCTATTCAGACTCAGCTTTGTAAGCAACTGGTTTACTGACACAGCAGTTACAAAGGCACTGAAAAAAGTCCCACAGGTGTCATTATGAAATGAGAGGGAGCATTAAAGACTCGGAAGAGCAGGCTGGGGCAATAGTAATGGAAGCCTCAGCACCGCAGTCTTCAGATTAAAGGACACAGGGAGGAACTAGGGTTCCTTGAAGATCCAGAGTTAAAAAGCCACCATTTATGGGAGGAGAGAAAGCATGTTTAGAGGCGGGGGGAGCAGGCAGAAAGGAGGAGGCGGGCACTGGGAATGCTGCCCAAACGAAATACAAGAGGCATTCTGCAAACCCCTGGGGAGGAACAGCAAGGAGGAGGAACCAGTCCATTCATTAAAAAGGAAGGGGCTGAAACAGAAGGAGATTCAAAATGACGGACACTGGAGCCTTGGTAACATCTGCCTTCAACAGGGTGGTAAGAAAATTAGCCAGCAGCGCCCCGGGGCTTCCATCCCCTCCAACTCACTGACTATGAAAGACGTTGTCAGGAAAAGGAAGATTTAGAAATAGGAAGAAAAAGAGACTGGGAGAGAGTAGGTGGAGTTGCCAAGCCTCAGACAATTTAACCCTATCCTGGGAAGTGTGCTAGCATATCATGGGGGGTAGACTTGCATGGGCAAATGGAAAGAAACTTAGATACTCAGCCCTCTCCATTGCAAAGCTCTCTGACTTGGGGGTTGGATGAGATGACTCTTGAGGTCCCTCCCACCCTCATGATTTATAGCGGACTGGTAAGATTTAAAAATCAGTCTGTGAAACAAGATGTAGGTGCTGCATCCACTCAGCTCAATGCCCTCCAACATGCAGGTTAAATGAGCTATGGGGTAGCTTTCATTGCTTCTTAAATGCAACACAGTGAGAATTACCAGGGAGAGCTTAACTTTAAATACTAATCTCCAATAACACCACCAAAGCCTGTCCCAGGCTGGGTGTCCCTGGGGTAGTCAAGTTAACACCTCTCCCCTGGGCAACCTCCAGCTTTTACAAGTAGACTACAGACTCCCCAGCCTTCCTCGCACTGTGTGGTTCACCCCATATTGAACGCGGAGGACCTGTCCGGTGCGCACTGTGGAACAGATGACACTGGAGAGCCACCGCTGTCATGCTCACTCTCTCAACCGCTCCCTCTCATACCCTTCAGATTTCTGTGCTGGCTGGACACTGGCTTACATAGGCAAATGCCACATGGGTAAAGCAGGCCTGCTCCCAACTAGATCTACGAGAATAGAGGACCAAACAAACAGAGTAGTCTTGAATCCAAGATAAAGGGTTTCTAGGCACTTTTATCTCCATGATAGGGGAGATGCTCCATGTGCTGCTACTGGCCCCCTCCAAGGACAGAAGAGTCTAGCAAAGGAGACCCAGGTCCCTGCCACTGCTTTCACCTTACACTCCCAGGCACTTTCTGAAGCAGAGATGAAAGGCCAGGGTGACTCTCACCTGAATTTCTCATACTCCAGCATAACGCAGGGGCCCCGGTCTGGCTGCCACGTCCCCTGCACCTCCCACCTGCCAAAGCGCCTGAAATCCACAAAGCAGAGGATGCGGCGCGGGCTCTCC